CCCAGCCCAGATCCAGGCCCAGATCCCAGCCCAGATCCCAGCCCAGATCCCGGCCCAGACCCGGACCCAGATCCCAGCCCAGATCCTGATCCCGGCCCAGACCCCGGTCCAGATCCCGATCCCAGGCCAGATCCAGATCCCGGTCCAGATCCAGATCCCGGCCCAGATCCTGATCCCGGTCCAGATCCAGATCCCGGCCCAGATCCTGATCCCGGTCCAGATCCAGATCCTGGTCCAGATCCCGGCCCGTCCAGGAGCCAGAGGCCGGACGGCGTGTCGACGTCGTACGACCGATTGAGGGACGGCGAGGGGGCGGAGCTCTTCTCTCCTCGTCTCTCCTCGGGACAGACGCCGTTTTCCGGAGGAATAACTCTGAAGAAGTCCGGGATCCGCATCTGCTGTGCAGCAGACAGGAAGCTTCTCACAGGCGGCTGGATCCGTCTGGAGCCCTTCCCCTCCTTTAGTTTTCCTCCCTCTGGAGCTGAGCTTTTCATCTGCTTCCCCCCATTTAGTTGCAGCCTCTCGGCCTCCCTCTCCTGATCTGTGGGAGCTTCCTCCGGCCCCAAATCCTTCTGGATGTTATCCAGATTGACGAGCGGGTGTCTTCTCGCCCTCTCCTTGCCGAGTAGAAAGGAGTAAAAATCGGTCGGATCCGGGATCCCGGGGCCTTTCGGACCGGGCTCCCTCTGCCAGCCATCGTCCAGGTTTTCCTTCACCGTGGACTCCAGATCTGTGATCAGCACCTTGAGACCGGACAGGTGAGACTCCAGCTCGTCCAGATGCTGGGAGCTGTTGCCTAGGAGACCATTAACAGGATGAGGAGGAGGAGGCTGGTGGCCGTTTAGGGGTCTGAGCTTAGCTTTAGCCGCCTCCTCCGAGGGCTTCTCCCCACCGGGAGCTTCCTCCTGTTTGGGAATGCCTTTTCCTTTGCAGGGAACGGGACTCCGGCAGAAGCTGAGGGCTGGAACGGTGCGATGTTTCCCGCCTTCTTCAGACCGCCCCCCCGACAGCTGCCCCTGGATGGAGGCCCCTCCTGGTCCAGGCTCCTGGGAACTATTCCGCTTATTGTTTTGGAGAGTCTCGTCTTCCTCTTTACGTCTATCTTCTGGGAAGTGTCCATTTTCAGTGTTCAGGTTTGCACTTTTTGACGGGACCCGGCCCTCCGGGGGGCCCTGGACCTCCCAGGATTTCCGAGTTAGGATGTCCTCTCTCGTCCCGGCGTCCCCGTGCCGGAAGTCTTCGTTCTCCTTATCGGAGAGGCTCCCCCCCCCCCGCTGGGCTCTGCTGGCTCTGGATTGGCTCCTCAGCATCCGCTGGCGCCGCCGATACTCCTGAGACTTCTTCAGTAAGGCCTGGAGACTCAGAGGATAGAGCTCCTCCGCCGTGTTCGGGTCGGTTTCCTCGACCGGTTCCGGTTCGTCTGGGTTTTTCTGGTCGGACATTTTGGAGTAAGGGGAGCCTAATTTCTGGGATAATTGTGGATTGTCAGAAAAGTCACTTTTCCCTGAAAACGCTGAAACCGATCCCTCATCTGCGTCTACATTTTCCTGCTCGGCAGAATTAAGAATCGTTAAATTAAGACTCTCATCCTTATCCTGCTGGTCACTCATCACTGAATCATCCTGAAACGAGACGCCGAAAACGTCCGTTACTCCCGTTGGGCTTTCACAGAAAGGCGACTCCATCCCACTTCTCTCTAACTCCGCCCCGTCCATGGGCGGGTGGCTGATGATGTCGGGCATCCTGGTGACGGTTTGTGGGACGCTGTGCAGGTAAAAGCCGTCCACGGAGGGACAAGGCGAGTGGGCCTCCCCACAGGTAGCCGAGGGGTCAAAGGTCACGTAACCTGAGGACGCCGAGGGGTGACTGAAGGAACATGGCTGTGACCCCGATTGGTCGGTGAGGCATCCTTCATGGTAACGGTGCTGAGGGGAGAGACCAGAGGCAAAGAAGGCACTGTAGGTAGTGGAGGTCATGGGAGGAGGAGGAGAAGGAGGAAGAGGAGGAGGAGGAAGGCCATTCTGTGAAGTCTCCGCAGGAGTTGGTGGAGGACTATCTTTAGCCCCGTTAAAGACCTCAGAGCAGCTGCTGCTGGTCGGCTGATGTGAAGACTTTGTCTTATTTTCTGACTCTTGAAGCAACTCCTCGAGTGTCGGCGTCTTCCTCAGCTGCAAAATCAGGCCCCAAAAGCAAAACAGTCATTGGATGACGCAAAACATACATCTTTTAGAAACTACAAAAAAACTTAAATCAACCTACATGCATATCTACTACATACATATATATAAATTCTAATAAATTCAGCATATTGTCCTCCACCCACTAAACATTTTCCTTAAAAGACTTAAATAAATAGCAGGGACATGAATGAATGAAACTGGAGTTTAAAGTATTAAACCTTAAACATTTTGAATGTTTGGTGGTTTTGAGCAAGGCTGAAATTATGGGACATTCATTTGTTCATCTTTCTTTTGGGAAGTGGACAAATACGTCCTTTATGACCTAAAAGGGTAAAAAATTAAACTGATTTCTGAGGGTTAAAACAACCCGTCTTTCAGATAATTTTTCTGCTTTAAAGCATTTTTTATCCTGATTTTGACATGGCTATACAAACAAAAAAAATATACGTTATGTGAAGTCATTTTGAATTTTGCATCATTTTCAGTTTTACAATGATACAGATGAAAAAAATCACCTGGACGCTGTGCAGGAGAGTTTGTATGTAGGTCATTCTGGGATCATCTTTCAGCTTTCGGTGGCCGGCGGGTCTCTGTACAGCATCTCTGTGGCGCCTCATCTCCTCTCTCTGTTTCTCTGACAGCTGACAAAACACAAATCAAACACAATTTGCCCTGAATGAGGCACAAACCTGACAGCAGTAAGCTTCAACTGTAGGTTTTCTGCCCTTGTTTATGTCAAATGGTGCAAAGGAAACTTCACATCTGACAGGCTAGATGTGATTTAACGGTTTCAAAAGCATTTCACAATTACTTTAATAACTAAATAGGCTGATATAAGTCCTTAAAGTTGTGTTTTACCAGCGGAGGCAGGATGCACCGTCCATAGAAGCGGATGGCAGAAGATGCTGATGAAGATCTGTCCTGTTCCTCCTCATCCTCCTTACTTTTCCTTAGTTGGGAAAGACGACGCTGCACAAACTCCCCATAGTCCTCCATTGCATTTCGGGTGGACAACCAAAACTGACCCCGGACGGCTAAAGTTGAGTGGCTAATGTGAGTAAGTTAAGGTTTGCTAGCGTTAGCTGTCAGGCTGCTAGCAGCTGGTTAACTTAGCTAGCATAACGTTAGCTAGCATAACGTTAGCCAACGGCCGTTTGTTAAAATAAATAAAAAAGCTGAAAAATGTTCAGACAGGGAAGCTTTTAAATGTGTTTGAAATGCAGGAACTACCAATGTAGAGCCTGGATAACTACTAAACAAAAACTCCCCACCATGACTGCCAGTGTTTACTGTTTTACCCGCCTCTCATCCCCGAGCAACGGCCGGCGACGGTTGGAGACCGCCGGGGCGATGCTAAAACCCGGGCTGGAGTCCGACGGTGTCCCGGAGGTACACGACAACAAAAACACCTCAGAAAACAAAGAAAAGGCTAAAATAAAACCAAAAAAAAGAAGACCCCAAAATGGCGGACAGACTGACAAAATTTCAGAGAACAAAAAACACGAACAGGAAACAAAAAAAGACTCAAATATGTGCATTAAAAAACACACAAATAAGATGAAACATACAAATACTGTACAACAAAAAACGACGACCACAAAAACGAGAATACATCCAGAAAATATTCACAAACGAAAAGAAAACAGCAAAACAAATGACCAAAAACATGTCCACAAAAACACACAAAAAACTCAAACCCCACAAATTAACCAAAAAGACAACAACAACAACTTATTCAGACACACACACAGAAACATAACACATGTGTAACTCTCCATCCAAACCAAAAACAGATGCAAAAAACAAAATAACAAGTAAACAAAACCAGGGATGCATAACTAAAGCTAAATACCCTAAAACAAGACCTATGTGTCAACTGGAAAAACAGGAAAAACAGCATAAAGTCTGAAGACTACACATCATCCCAGGAAACACTAAACCAGAAAAGATTTTTAGAATCAGAACAGCCACAAAAAACAAATAAAAACCTCTTTATTGTCGTACTAAGTTATTTTTATTAATCAAATTTAAATGATTAGAATGTGTTTCCCTTACAAGAATAAGCACAAATCTGCCCACGTTGTTTATTTCCTGTTTGGGTCATGACTGAAACCTTGTTGGTTAAACTCAGGAAAAGCACTTCATCCATCAATAATAAAATTAATAAAAATGTGGTTTTAATGGGGCTAGATTCTACCTGTGGGTTTAAAAACTGCACCAAACACACCAGTCGTGTTTTAAAACATGTTTATTGGTCATATATAAAATAAAGTAAGCTGTTTTTCAACAAATGTATAGTATATACATTAATAAATTAAAAGATGCATCATACCCATGATGAAACAGTTAATTCCATGATTACCAATACCTTGTCATCATCGTCACTATCAACAAATTTAAAAACAAAAAATAAAGTACAATAATTTAGTTGATAAATACTTACAAAGACTGTCACATTATAAGGTTTTTTCCCATAGAAAGTACTGTCGTAGAATAATTTATTACACCCCATACAGAAATATTACAAAACACTGAATTTCTTATTACAAGGGCTTTTCTGAATAGGTTACGCCACCTTTAAAACAAACTCACTACTTCTCTGAAGCTTTAAATCCACCAATCGACTAATATTTATCTTTATGAGCGGAAAAGCACCGTCCCAGCTTCAGAGAGCTCTCCGGACGGTGCTCCAAAGGTGGAGGGATTATTGGAGGGGCAGTTAAGGAGAAAACCTGTTCCAACAAAGGGGGGAAATGAGTGAACAATAGCTGAGTGTGTGGAGAAATATCCTCATTAGAGGGGAGAGGAGCTCTGGGGGTAAGTTAAGATGCAAAAACAAACATTATGATTGATGAAAAACACCAAACAGAACGATCAAAGGAGTCCTCGGTTCATTTACTTTCATTGATCTGGATCCGTGTTGGGCGAAAGGCCTTCTGGAGTCCAGCGGTGTGATTCACCACACAGGAAAACAGCTAAGTGACCACATACCGATCGGCCACGCGGCGAGATAAGGAGTTAATGATTTGCGTCTTCTGGAAGAATTGGGTGGTGTGAGGAAGGGCTCGGTTCAGAGTTTTATCAGACGTCTCCACCACCTCTTTCTCAGCCCCTGTGAATTATTTACGGGGCTGAGTGTGAGCGGTTTGTGATGAAGCGTCTTATCGTGAGGAGGCTGTGACCCCGCGTCTGACCGGTGAAAACCAGGATTAAACCTCTGTGATATCCCCCTCATTCCCCTCATACAGAGCCCACAACGCTCCACGCTGGAAGACAAAAACAGCTCGGCTACCTCAGAGTTTCCATGTATTTCCATGGCGTCTGAAGAGGGAAGTTGATTTTGGAAGAAAGACAAAAAAATAAAGATTATCACTCGTTTAAACGGAGACACAGGAGCCGGATTCTAACAGGCTGACGGAAAAAAGAGTAACCGGACGTCTTCCCGCCTTTCTGAACCCGCTAGCATCGCAGAGATTTGACACAGTTCGGATAATTAGACACCTCTATTTAGCAGCAGCACAGTGGGAATCCTTTTTCCCAACCGGAGGAGCCGGGAAAAACAGAGCGGGATGAAACATTTATTCTGACGGTTCGACACAACCCGGGCGTGTTTCTTCCCATTTCACATCACACAGACACATACCACAGGACTCAGAACCCAAAAAAAGGAGAAAAAAAGAAGGAATCAGAGGCAGGAAAAATGAAATTAGACAGGAAGCTTCACAGATTCAGTCGGAAATGTTGGTTTTAAGTAAGATGGAGGTGCGTAAACACGCTGGGTGTGGAGCTTAAAGGAGACATATTATAGCCTATTTCAACAAAGTTAAGCTAGTTCCCTGGTGTCCTAATGTAATGTCTGTGACAAGCTTTGGTCAAAATCCCATAAGGATGAAGCCCAATAGCAGTTCAGTCCCCCTGCCTAACCCTAACCCTAACCCTAACCCAAAACAGCCCCGTTCAGAGCGCTCGCTTTGGAGTGCCTGTCTCTTTAAATGCAAATGAGACACAGGCAATCCACCCACTTCTTC